AGGGAGCGAATTTAACCAAGTCTGAGCTTCCCGGTCACAGAGAATGGGAACAGTAGCAGCTTGATAGCTTCCGGGGTCACATTTGGCTGCCTTTGGGTCACACAAATTGATAGAAAAATTTTTAGGTGCTGCTGAGGGTCTTCAATGTGCGATCCGGAGAACAATCCTTTATTCTGCAGTAGATGCAACATGTTGTTGGTTATCTGGAAGGTCTCCGCTTGAATTGCGGGCACAACTATGGCAGTGGCTAAGTTATCAGCTGTGGGTTGTGCCTAGTCATAAAGTGCAGCTTCGGGCACAAGAGGTGCCACTACTCTTACATTGGGGTTCGCTGGCAGATCCCCAACGTTTCCAATGATGTTTTTTGCGTCACCCGTGTCAAATTCGAGCTGCTGTGATTGTTGTGATTGTTGGAGCCTCTTGTTAGCACGGTTCAATGCCCTGAATGTTTTCTCGGGGTCTGAAAGTCCTTCTAGTAGTTCTCCAGTCCTCGAGGAACTTCTAGGAATACACCTGATTTTCACAAGAGTTCAAACGTTAGAATTTCAATGAACAGATTGGGTATAGAGAAAACTGACTACACTAAGAATTTTTGTACTTCTTTCAATTGTAATTGATAACACCATTAAATTCCCCGGCAACGGCGCCAAAATTTGATCACGCCAAACTATGCCTTGTAAAAGGACACGCGGACGTTGCAAATATAGTCTGGGTATTTAGGCCCAGAGTCGAACCCATAGGGAATTAACCTACCAATTACTTTCTTTGGATGTACTCAATTCTATGGAATCAACTTTCCCAAACTTTATAAATCACAGTTGATGGTATTACTAATAGTTAAGACTGAAAGTAAATAGACAGCTGAAAACTAAATATGCTTGATGTGTAAACAATTGGAATAAGATCTAAGGTAATGGTTTCCCCCGTTGTTGATTTCCTTGGTTGTATATGTCTTATAACTGACTTAGTTATCTCTATCAATCATGAACTCTCCAGCTACCATAAATCTTTCTCAAGCAATTATGATAATTTACTAGACGCACTCTCTCAAGCTACGCTAGCTAGATTCTCAATACAGTTCACTTAGATTGCACCGGAGGTATCGTTATCTCTAAACCAACCTCTAAACCCTCGGTTATGACTCTCGTCTATACTCCGGGAGTGATGTTTCAAACAGCTACCTAAATATGCACTCTCTCTCAAGCAGATACATACTAAATAGGGACGGATAATTGAGGGCCTTTTTAATTAACCACAATCAAAACGTAGATGAACAAATAGAGATTAAAACCAATCCGCAACTATATTAATATAACAACCAAGTTATCCCCAACGGGTTTCACCAAACCCTAGATTAAAGGATTTAGCTACCCATAACAACATACGATAAAACTACTAAATTATTCATAATGGAAGAATTGCAAGAAAAAGAGAAGAAATAAAGAACTATGATGGTTTGGGTGATCTCTCACACTTGTTCTTCTTCCCAAAGTAATCTCAAAACTAAGACTAAACTATTTTGGGCGAGTTTCTAAAGCTTATAAGGGTTTTACAAAAGTTTCCCCGAATTGACACTTTGGCCCCCAATTTTCAGATACGTGAACAGTTCACCGCGGCCGCGGTGTGGGCCGCGGTGTGGACCGCGGTCGACCGCGGTGAACACTGCCTGGGCCTATTTTTGTGCTGTCTCCGCTGTCCACCGCGGTCGCGGTGGACTTGTGTCCAGTCATTTTTCTTTTGCTTTTGTGTTCGGGTACTTCTCGAGCGGGTGTTTTCTTCACATTATTGCCTCCAAATGCTTCATATTGCTTCCTCACCTATGCTATTCCCTGCGAAACCAAATAACACTATTTAAAGTATTTTGTTGGAAATTTACCTTATAAAACAACAACAAATCATAAGCAATTAAGGTGTAAATATCAACTATATAGCCTACTATCAGGTACCTTTCCTTGGCCAAGGAAAAGGAGACCAATTCTCCTGAATCTACCAAAAAACAGAAACATTTTAGCTTAATTGCTTTGTTTTCGAATAATGTACTGAGTGCCTTTCTCGCCAATTCATCTGGCTTCAATAACTCAAATGCGTTAGTTGCTTTAGGCGTGATTAATAAATAAATAAATCATCATGGCCATGGGTATGATTCCCGTGGCATGGTCACGATACGTAATCCCCAATTCGGGCGTGCATTTCATGCGACTCGACCATAACAACTTTGAACTTTAATAAAAATAAACATGTCGCAAATTGCGGGTGCATTTCATGTAGCGTGATTTGCGGTGTGTTCCAAAACGGCAAGTGTACGACAATCGTAACTTGTTCAAGAAATAATTCCATAAATCCTAAAAAGCGGTTAAAATAATTAAAAAGCGGTGATAAAGTTAAAAATGCACAATAGGTTTAAAATATGTAGTAGATCAGATAATTAGGCCAATATTATTAGTTAAAGCGATCGTGCTCGAACCACGGAATCCGGGAATGCCTAACACCTTCTCCCCGCTTAAAAGAATTCCTTATCTAGAATTTCTGGTCGCAGACTTTAAAATAAAGTCTATTTCCTCGATTTGGGATTAAAAAAAAATAAACCAGTGACTTGGAACACAAACTAAACTATTCCAAGTGGCGACTCTAAATAAATAAATTAATCTCATTTCGATTAATGTCACTTTAATTGGAAAAACTCCCTTATATCCCTTTCGGGTGGTAAAAAGGAGGTGTGACAGCTCTGGCGACTCTGCTGGGGAAAAGAACCCAGAACTTCTGGTTCAGGGTTCAGAATTCGAGCTTAGAATAACTGTTATACTTGGCTTTTATCTATTATCTGATTTTTGCGTGTTTGAGCCTAATGTGCTAAATGAGCTTTTTACCGCTTTGATATTGATTGAACTGTATATAAAAACTGTTACGAAACCCTTCTCCCTGAGTCTTCTAAATAATCTGGGAATTGTGCACTTCGTGTGACTTCTTTTCTGTTAGAGTCATATCCCAATTTTAGAACGAGGTTCGGACAAGTTGCAAAGCCTGTGAAACTTCTGTATTCCCGGTGCGCTGCTCCCCTCGGCTCGAGTTGTCCGCTCGGGTAAGCCAGGTTTAGAACAATACACCCAGGTTTTAAACCTAGAATAACCTAGCCTCATGCTGGATCCCTAGTAGGTACGTTTGTTTGCATCACGTGCATCCGACTTTGGGGACTCAACACAGGGGTTGGGTCCGCTAGGACAGGTGTACCCAAATTAAAAAGACCATCCTGATGCATCTACATGCTATTTGCGCATCTGTTTGTTTCGGCTTGCATGTTGACCGGCTACTAGAATAGGGAAAGAAAATTAAAAAAAATCAAAAAACAAGAGTGAGAGGTAGGTATTTGAAAAATTCCGAAACTTTGCCGAAATTCTGGGAAAAAAAGGGAAAAGGAAAAAGACAAGGTCATTTCAAAATGAGCCCAAAATCTTCAAGTGCCATGTTTCCCCGTTCCGTCAAAATTGACCGAAATTCTCACCGGATGTGAGATACGTAAGCAAACCTCATCGGTTCCGGCCCTACTTTAAAAAATCCAAAATATTTTCCTTTAATTCCTTCTTTAGAAGTATTTCCTTAGAAAATTCAAAAAAAAAAAGGAGATTTTTAAACTCAAAAAATAAATAGTTTCCTTTTCATACGGGAAAAAAGAAGTAAAAATAAAAATCAATCAAAAATCAAAATTCAAAATACGGGTTTCCTTCATTTTGAAGTATTTTTTCCAAAAAATCCAAAAAAAAAAATCAGAAACAAAAATCCAAAAATACTCTTTTTTTCTTTAGAAGTCTTTCTTTTGTAAATGTCCATAAAAAATTGAGAAATAAAAGTCCAAAAATATTTTTGCTTTCCTTTAAAAGTACTTTCGTAAATTAGAACAGAAAAAAAAGAAGAGAAACTCAAAAATCCGAAATATTTTCTTATAAGTCCTTGTTTAAAAGTCTTTCTTTCAAAAAAATAATAATATTTTGAAAAATTGAAGTCCAAAAATATTTTCGCTTTTTTTTTAGAAGTACTTTTGTAAATAAAATAAATAAATAAAAAAAACTCAGAAATCCCAAAAATTTTCTTAAAAGTCCCTCTTTCGAAACTTAAGAGGCAACATCCAAAATCCAAAAAAATATTTTTTTTTCTTCTTTAGAAAAAGAGAAAACAAATGAAAATTCAAACAAAAGCATTTTCCTTTTACTTTTGAAATGTTCAAATCAAAAGAAAAGGAATTCTTAGAAGTCTTTCTTTCAAAAAATAAAAGAAAAATCAAAATCAAAAATCCAAAAAATATTTCCTTTCTTCTTTGAAAGCATTTCTTTATAAAATTCCAAAAAAAAAAAAATTGTTTTACTTTTCTCAAAGCTTTCATGGTCTGAATTTTACAAAAAGTAAACAAACAAAAAAAAGAAGTGTTAGCTCATTTACCTTGTTCCTGATCTTCCCGAACATCGCAAGATCTGATTCATGCGGCGTCATGATACGTAGGCAATCCTCATCGGATTCGATCATAGCTATAAAATTAACTGAGTGAAAAAAAAATTGAATAAAGAAGAAAGAAAAAAAATTGAGTGAAAAAGAAAGAAAAGTGAAAAAAAAGAGCGACATAAAATAAAAGAGTGACAAAAACAAAACAAAAAAATAAAAAGAAAAATGAAAAAGAGAGTGCCAATATAGAAGAGCGACAGAAACAAAACAAAAATCAAGAGTGATTAGAGAGAAGCAAAAATGAAGAAAAGAGGTGCAGATTGAAAAAAAAAAGGGTTAATTAAGGCCGGGATGAAACACGCAACTCGTTGAAACACATAGTAGAAACGTTTAATTGTCTAGGTGCATTGCATCCCAATATGCGATTTCCTATCTGTTAAACGTCTCAAAACTAACAAGGTTGTTGGGTGTGCAAATTAGCCATGTTCTGTTCAGGTGGTTGGTTTTGTTGGTAATCTGCCTTCCCATCCTTACTTCACAAGATCCAAAGGAAAGATTTCTATGTCCCTATGGCCTCTGAAAGCCATCTCCAAATCACCGATCCTGAGGATAGCCCAGCACCGGCTATTCCACAACTAGAATCAGCAGCTGCTGAAGAGAATAGGATGTTGCGTCTCCGCATATTGAAAATGTGGGATGCCTGGTCTAATGGTAGGGAACCGCCAAGTGCAATCCCTGGGTTCCCTGAGTTGATCCCCAGGTCAGGTGAGGTTACCAATACCCCTGTGCCCAACCCGCTCATCCCATGCGGGCACCCTCCAATGCCGTTCAATGTTCCGGAATGCCTTCTGTGGTTCGCCCCCAGGCGTCAATTTCATGGGCACCTCCAATATTGTTCTCTACAGCACCAGTCTGCACCAGAGCACAACCAACTTTACCACGACCGTATGTTGAGAGTCCAATGTTCACCTTTCAGGATCCACATCTTCAGTCAGAAATAGCATATGTGACCCCATACTCTTTCACTCAACCTCCGCAATATGATCACTCGGTGGAGCAAGAAAAAGGTTGTTAAAAATCCTGAGCAAGAGGAAATGGCTCGGAAGATGAAGAGCCTGGAACAAATCCTGAAAAACATGCAAGGTCTGAGTGTCCAAAAGAGTGTCTCATACTTTGACCTCTGTATGTTTCCCCATGTCCACTTGCCGGCTGGCTTCAAGATGCCAAATTTTGAAAAGTACGACGGGTACGGAGACCCGGTCGCTCACCTGAAACGATACTGTAACCAGTTGAGAGGCGCTGGTGGAAAAGAGGAGCTACTAATGGCCTATTTTGGGGAAAGCCTCACCGGAGTCGCTTCTGAGTGGTATACGGATCAAGAAATTACCCATTGGCACGTGTGGGACAATATGGCCTGAGATTTTGTCAGCCAGTTCCAGTATAATGTGGACATCGCTCCCGACAGAAACTCTTTGTCCAATTTGAAAAAGAAAACCGCGGCAAGCTTCCGCGAATATGCTGTCAAATGGCGTGAGAAAGCTACCAGGGTAAAGCCTCCAATGGACGAAATTGAAATGGTCACGGTCTTTCTACAGGCCCAAGAGGCGGACTACTTCCAGAAAATGATGTCCGCTATGGGAAAGCCGTTTGCTGAGGGGAGATGGTAGAAAGTGGGCTAAAAACAGGTCGAATCTTGACTCATGCCGCTTTTAAAGCCACATAACCAGATGTTCAAAATGGTTCAGAGGGTTTGATAAATGGAAGCAGGAGAGCAGAAAGAGCCATGATGGCTTCCAGCTCGATGGGGGCCCGCAGGTCATTCAGCCAATCATATATGCTTCCTGAGGTCCCTCAACATTATTATCCCCTTCAAGATGCCGCTTATGCCGTGGCACCGCCTCCTTATGCGGTAATGAACGTGCAACCTTACACGCGACCACAATATTATCCACAAAATCGAGCTCCACCTCCCAGAAATTCCCATCCTTACCAAACTCCATATAATCCTCAACCAAATGATCCCTAATACAATCCTCGCCCAAGAGAGCCTTTCAGAAAGAATCAGTCCACCCCTATTGGTGAATCGTATTCAAGCTTGTTCCAAAAGCTAATCAGGCTAGATCTATTACAGCTAGTGGCCCCGAACCGGCCGAACCCCGAGTCCCCAATGCACCGAGCTAATGCTAGATGTGAATACCACTCTAGAGCAGTGGGACACAGTACAGAGGACTGTTGGACCCTCGAAAGGGCAGTTGAAGATTTGATTGAAGCTGAGAGAATTGTTTTTAAGGATGAAGAAGCTCTTGATGTGATGAACAATCTGTTGTCTGCCCACAACAACGGGCCAATAGTCGGAATGATTTGTGAAGATGAGGAATTTGATCCAGCACTGAAGGCCATTGCAGGCATTGCCGAGACAGAAGAAAAGCTGAAAGACGGTCGCCAAGCCTGAAAGTTCCCCATCAGACGGGAGTCTCGGTAGTCAATCTTGCTATCCTTTCTGCGTCCGGATTATCTTAGGGTGTGATCCGGATGTTTTAATTTATTGTCTTACTTTCCGATATAAAGCCTTCTATCTTCAAAAAATTGAAAAACAAAATTAAAAAATCAAAAAATCAAAAAATCAAATGAAATTAATATATTTCATTGTCCAGGAATGTCTCTTTTCTTAATCTTGTCATTTCTCTTATTCTCTTTTTAGTTCTGTTAAATGCAGATTTCAATGACATGACGTGCTTGAGGACTTCATGCCCAGATCCTAAAATACTGTTAGATTTCGAAATAATGAATCAAGAATTAGATTGCAATGAAGATAAGTTTAAGGAAATAAAACAAAGAGTTGGAACAGCTAAAGGAAAATTGGCTCCAGATTGGAAAGATCCATACATGGAAACAAGGGTACTGCCAAAGAGAGCGTTGTACCTAGAAAACATCGAGGGCAATGTCCGAAACAACTGCCAATGCAAATGCAGCCAAAAGGTACTACGTTGGATCCTCTATATAACATATATGTTCTCCGGTTGGGGTGAAGAAGGCTTTTATTCTCGCTACTCAAACACTATCAACCCTTTGCAAACCCTTTAAGCCGGTTACTTTTTTTTGATTACCCTCTTTGGAACCTGAAAGTGCTACTGAAAAGAAATTGAAAAAAATGAAATAAAAAAATGAAAAGAGAAGAAAAAGCAAAATACAAAAAAGGGGAAGAAAAACAAAGAAAATGAAATGAAAAAAAAGGAGAGGAAAAAGGAAAGGAAAAAGATAGAGAAAACAAAACAAAAGAAAAACAAAAACAAAAGTTTCCCTAAACTACGTTTGACTTGATTCCGAAAGGATACGTAGGCAGCCTCTCTATGGGGTTCAGTCACACCAAAACAAAAATCCACATTCCCCCAAAAGTGAAACTGGGGCAGATGTTATAATGGTTCGGCGATGATCTCGCCTGAATGGTTCCAAAATTGTAATTCAGTCCAAATTACTTTTATCCAAATCCTTTCAAGTCCTTCCGATCAATCGGTGAGAATGTTCAAGGATCGGAGAATACAATTACTTAGATCTGACACAACAAAATGAGAGAAATAAAATGAGAGAGTCTTATCGGTGAAAACCCACACGGGCACCGTGAGGCGACAGTAAGCAAAGAAACTAAAATGAGAGAGTCTTGTTAGTGAAAACTCGCAAAGGGCACTATAAGGCGATGGTGAGAAGAGAAATGAGAGTGGTCAGCTCGTGAAAACCCGCAAAGGGCACCACCTATGGAAAAAGAAGATCTTCAGTCACTGATATTGACACAGTCCTGGGCAAGGTTTCTCGGTTTCGGGGCAAAAGTTGTGATGAATTTCTGAGAGTCGGACGGTTTGGACGGATCAGGAATCCAGTCCAAAAGGTGTCATGTTCATTGAAGTCCGCATGTACTCCCGATAAGTCCTTCTTTCCTTTCCACGAAAGGGACACTTCTTGTTTTAAACTCATTCTCCATTTCGTTGTTTGTTTTCTTTGAATCCCTTTCGGTTTAACTCTATTTCGAAACTAAGACAAAGAAAGGATGGTAATACTGATTTACAGGGCTTTCGTCTGACACGAGTTAATGTGCAAAAAGACACCCAGCCTCGTCAGGGGCATCAAGTTGATCTCGACTAGCCATGGCGGCCGATGCTTCGAAATCAAAACTCTTGGAAGGAGAAAGTCAAATTGAAGTGCCTATAAAGGTAAATGAAGTTGAAAAGGTTAAGTCCCACGTGGCTAACCATCTTGGCAAAGATTTGAGAAGCCAAAGGATCCCAAATGCTCTAAAACTAAAGTTGGAAGAAAGAAGCCGGAAATGAAAGGCCTATGAAGGCGAAATAAAGTTGAAAAAGGTTAAGTCCTACGCGATTAGCCGTTGAAGCAAAGTTTGAGGATCCAAAAGTTCCCTAATGCTTTGAAGTTAAAAAAAAAGAAAAACAACAAGTCAGAAAAGAAAGGCCTACAGAGGCAAAATAAAGTCGAAAAGGGTGAGTCCCGCCGACCAATCGTCATGGCAAAGTCTAGAAAAGCCAGAGTTCCAGGATCAGAAATGCAATCGGTATTCAAGAAACAACCAGTTGCAGATGAAAGGGGCCGAGATCAAATGGTTGAAATAATCAAGGCCACAAAGCCAACCACCGTTTCAAACTGACAAATTGTTCTTTGTTTGAAAAACAGGAAAGAGGTGCAATCCAAAAGCAACCTTGCAAGAAGCAGGTGCAACCAAAAAGAAACTGCGCAAGGGCTAGAAACAACTTTGCAGCAACAACCCAAAAGGGAAGTCTCCTCCAAAATTCTTTCCCGCATTTACTCATTCTATGAAATTAAAAAAAAGAGAAAAAAATGATGATGAAAATGGAAAAAAAAAAAAGAAGAAGAAAAGTTCAAAATCATGGTAGTATAGGGTCTCCAATCCCTAGCTGCGTCTTTTCCAACATAGGGTCCCATTCCCTAGTCGATGCCAGCATAACCTGGTAATCTTTCCAACATAGGGTTCCACCCCCTAGTTGATCCTGGCATAACCCGAGGACCTTTCCGGCATAACCCGATGACTTTTCCGGCATAACCCGTTTTCGACATAACCCGATGACTTTCCCGGCATAACCCGAGGACCTTTCCGGCAAAACCCGAGGACATTCCCGGCATAACCCGAGGACCTTTCCAGCATAACCCGATAACTTTCCCAACATAACCCGAGGACATTTCCCATATACCTTGATGACTTTCCCGGCATAACCCGAGGACCTTTCCGGCATAACCCGATGACTTTCCCGGCATAATCCGAGGACCTTTCCGGCATAACCCGATGACTTCCCCGGCATAACTCGATGACCTTTTTGGCAAAACCCGATGGCTTCCCCGGCATAACCCGAGGACCTTTCCGGCATAACCCGATGACTTCCCTGGCATAACCCGAGGACCTTTCCGGCATAACCCCGATGTACGGCATACTCCGATGACTTCCCCGGCATAACCCGAGGACCTTTCCGGCATAACCCGATGACTTCCCCGGCATAACCCGAGGACCTTTCCGGCATAACTCGATGACTTCCCTGGCATAACCCGAAGACCTTTCCGACATAACCCGATGACTTCCCCGGCATAACTCAAGGACCTTTCCGGCATAACCCGAAGGCTTCCCTGGCATAACCTGAGGACCTTTCCGACATGACCCGATGACTTTCCCGGCATAACCCAAGGACCTTTCC